ATAATTTCTTTTAATCTCTCTCATCTCTGTCTCTATTGCAAATTCACATATCAGTGAGAAAGAGAGACACACCAAGTCTTCAAGGAGGTCTCTGATGAGCAATAAGCCATATTTAAATCCAAAAGTGAAAGGTTTCTTTGGTGATGATCTGTTGTTTGAACAGATAAAACACGAACAAATAGAAAATTTTAACATATAAAAAATTTGAACAGTTGATAAAAAATTGGATGAATTACAAATACATCCCTGAGATTTGCTTAAAGTACAGATTGTTCCCTTGTAATTTGGAAAATTACAAATACCCCTTGATAGAATTTTTTATTTAACAAAATTAACTAAAAAAATAAAATTCATAATTGTTCTTTTATACAATAATAAAGTTACCTAAATTATTAATTGAAACACATTTTTAACATCAATAAAAACTGTTGATTATGTTGATGATTTATTAATAAAATAATTAATTTGTTATAAAATTATAAATCTCAATGAGTGAAATATAATTTCCAGAACCACAAGAGATAATTTGTATTTTAATAAAATCTCAGGAGTGTATTTATAATTTATCCTAAAAAATTTGAACAAATAAGAATTTCAACAGATAAAAAATTTAAACAAGTAAAAATTTTGACAAATAAAATAAATTTCAATTGAAAATAATTTCATCATATAATCAACAAAAAATCGAACAGATAAAAAAATTAAGAAATAAAATTAAAAACAAAACATTGTTCAAAACTTGTCACCAATTTAGACCATAAGGGAGTTTAATTAAATATTCAATTCAATTAGTACAATTGAGATTTGATTAATTGGGTCCAAATTAGAGTTAATTAAGTTAAGAAAAATGGGAATTAAGATTATTATAAATTAAATTTACTTATGAGGTGTCCAATTTGAGTTTGATCTAAAATTGAAGTGTCACGACCCGCTCCCCATACTCAAGGGTTAAGCATCGCAATGGTCGGTAACTGAAGTTACCTCCGGCCAATTCTTGAACAAATAAATAAAAGCGAGTGGAAATAATATTTAAGCGAGGGTACCAAAATAATCATTGAAGCTTTTATTTAATTAAATTGTCAGAGTTGAACTATGTCTACAAAGTGTTTTGTGCCTACCCCACACGCTGGCCCTGACATATCACCTGAAAGTGGTAAAAAATTATAAGCACATAGCAGAGTGGGAAATATTATACTAAGAGCATAAGGGCATAAAATCTACCATGGATAATTATAGGGCTAAACAGAGCTTGATATTAAAATACAGAGTATATAATACGGAAATCATTTGACATATAATACATAAATCATATAAACAAAATAATCATAACCACGGTACAGAACGGAACAAAATAGATGTATAGACTCAAGAGGTGGCTCGTACGAACTATAGAGGTGACTCCCACCATAGTGTAGCATTTAGCTCCACACCAGATGTCACGACCCCATCCCGTCCCTAGTAGAATGGTGCCATGATAGCCAGAAATCCGAGATTACCAAAAGCCAACTTACAAAGATTCACACACAATCAGAGTATACATATAGGGCTTACATGTGCGGATGTAATAAATTTAAATCTAAATAGTCCTTAAGAGTTGTGCATAGATTAAATGAAATGACATACAACTTAACATGGCTTTACAACTTGGATACAAATAAAATAAAGTATATATTACATCTTAATCAAAAGGCTTCTCAAGCCAATATATACAAAAGACATGTAATACAAAGCTAAGAAGCATAATCTTCAAGAAGCTAGCAAAACATGAATCTGAAAACATCTTGCAAATAATCATCTAGGCGTCACCGCCTTCTTGCTCGTCACCTGCATATATATAAGGAGAGGGTGAGCTTGGATACTCAGTGAATGATATTAGTAATAAAGGTTTAAATGAATGATATCCGAGATCTTTATCAAAACGATACATATCATAGCTTGTAACAAAACATGGGATGAATCAAGTTCATCAATCAAATCTTTCAAATCTTCTTGGGATGTTTAATAACATCTACATAATACATGGGATGACATTCCAGACAAACCCACAGGGTAAACCATCGGTGGCAAGACAAATGAGATATCTCGAACAAGGGTGCTAGTTGCATTATAGTCCCCTAGCACTAAGGACTTTCCAAGACAAACGCGCTAGTTACATTATAGTCCCCTAGCACTAAAGACTTTCCAAGAATGTCATCAAAACGAACATAATACTTGATACAAAATTAGGGACAATCATTCATACTTGAACAAACATTTTTCCAAAACGAAACAAGCAAAGCTTTTATCAAACGTTAGAACATAGCTTTATTAAAAATACCACTCATATAGCTCTTCGGGTGTGGGGATTAAAGCAAGGATCCAAGGCCTACAAATACATAATAAAACCCCATTGAATGCATTTCAAGAAGACAAAAAGAGATGCTCAAAGATGGATATGAAATACATCCCTAGAACAAGCTTTTCACGAGTGTAAATGATCTCGGCATTTCTTTCAAAACTAAGTCAAGACAAAGAAAAACATGCGCTGGGAGTTAAAACACTGTTTCTCATCTCGGGAAACACATGTTGGGTACCAACCAGGTCTTGGCCGAGGTCCCACACCTCTTGGCCAAGGTATGGTCCCGATGACCACATTTAGGGAAATGGAGTATGGAAATTCTGGGTTTCTTTTTGAAGAACATAAAGAACATGAATGTTAAAATCATAACTTCTTTATTCAAAATCTGAGTTTTCATGATATGAGTTCAAAAACATGGACCTGGGTACTCATAGTTGAAGTTCTTCTTAAAACAAACACAAAACAGTGAACTTGTTATAGACTTTCGGATCAAAACATGGTTTTATTTTAAGAACACAAGAACATCATTTTCTCTTTCTAAAACAAGCTTTAAATCAATGCATGGTTTATGAATCATGCTAGATCATGCAATGCGATCATATGAACATAAAGAATAATAAGAGTAGATCAAGAATCTAACCTCAAAACACGGATCTAACGGTTCAAGGTGTAAAGATCAAGTTTAGAAATCTATTCTCACTCTAAGAACTCTTATTCCTCTCTTCCTAGAGCTTCTCTCTTTTCTAGGACAAGGATATAACAAATGATATGTTTCTCTACTGTCGGTTGACTTAACCCTCTGTTGGGGCACGTGGCAACGACTGGTTGGCTCTCCTAAAAAAGGTGACTGACTGACAAGACAAGAGCATGACAAAGTGTGTACAACAAGCAAGGTGACAAGGGCACTCTAACAAGGTAAGGACCTTGGGTCAAGACATAGGCTTCGACAAGTAAGGTCTCAATGATCTCGACTAAGAAGGATAACACTTGACCTAGCTGTGCCACACCTCGGCCTAGATGTGCCGCACCTCGGTCTAGGTCATACCAGTCCCGGAACAAGATCGCTAGGTGTAAGGATCAAAGATGTTGGATGCCTAGATGATAACATCTCGGCCTAGGCGATGCACACCTTGGCCTAGATGATGACATCTCGGCCAATATGCCAGGGCGAAGGTGGAGGTCAACCAAAGTGGTTCCAAGATGGTCCTAGGTGTAAGAGGTTCAAAGGTGTGAGCTATGCTTAAAATGTCCTCGGCTTAACACACACAGAGCAAGGAACAAAGCATGTAAGCAACACTTAGACAAAACAAATCAAGGTCTGCAAATGCAAGTTTAATCAAGACACAGATCATGCAAAATGCATGTGAGTATGACTAAGACAAAGCGAGGGTTGTTACAATGGTGCTGGTAATGATTATATTGAGTTTGAGGATGAAGACATCGACAAAAGATCAGTCAATATAGATTTGAGAGAAGAGTTTGTGAATATTAAGTTTGATGTTGCTAACAGTTGAGATTGGCCTGTGGTCTGCATGTTACTTCTATTAGATTGGTTTGTTCATCAAGATTAAAGAGAGAACCATAAATATGCATAAATTTGTAAATACATAGACGTATATACATGAAATTTCTTTTAATCTCTCTCATCTCTGTCTCTATTGCAAATTCACATATCAGTGAGAAAGAGAGACACACCAAATCTTCAAGGAGGTCTCTGATGAGCAGTAAGCCATATTTAAATCCAAAAGTGAAAGGTTTCTTTGGCGATGATCTGTTGTTTGAACAGACAAAAAACGAACAAATAGAAAATTTTAACATATAAAAAATTTGAACAGTTGATAAAAAATTGGATGAATTATAAATACATCCCTGAGATTTGCTTAAAGTACAGATTGTTCCCCTGTAATTTGGAAAATTACAAATACCCCTTGATAGAATTTTTTATTTAACAAAATTAACTAAAAAAATAAAATTCATAATTGTTCTTTTATACAATAATAAAGTTACCTAAATTATTAATTGAAACACATTTTTAACATCAATAAAAACTGTTGATTGAGTTGATGATTTATTAATAAAATAAGCAATTTGTTATAAAATTATAAATCTCAATGAGTGGAATATAATTTCCAGAACCACAAGAGATAATTTGTATTTTAATAAAATCTCAGGAGTGTATTTATAATTTATCCTAAAAAATTTGAACAAATAAGAATTTCAACAGATAAAAAATTTAAACAAGTAAAAATTTTGACAAATAAAATAAATTTCAATTGAAAATAATTTCATCATATAATCAACAAAAAGTCAAACAGATAAAAAAATTAAGAAATAAAATTAAAAACAAAATATTGTTCAAAACTTGTCACCCACCTTCTTATCAAGCTTTTCACGAGTGTAAATGATCTCGGCATTTCTTTCAAAACTAAGTCAAGACAAAGAAAAACAACTAAAAATGATTAAGAGCCCCCTCAATTACCGACCTCCACTAACCTTACACGCGTGGAGATTTGTGATTGGAGAAAAAAAATAAATAAATAAAAATAAAATTAACCAATCACATATCCGAGGGGATCGCGGGGGTCACCCTGCCGGGTCCGGATCATTTTTCTAATTTATACCGGCCTCATATTGGATTTAATTTATGACGAATCAAGCAAATAAAAAATAAAACACAATTTTTTGACTCATTGTCCAAACAGAGCCTCTCATACTCAATCACTTCTTCTCGTCATCATGGTTGTCCCTGCAACTGTAAATTAGGGTTTCTATTTCTCAGAGAGAGAGAGAGAGAGAGTGCACAGTGCACAATGTCGATTCTCCAAATGTGTCTCTTAAACTCTACACCCCCAGGTGCCCTCTCATCATCTAGGGTTCTATCTACCCCAAACCACCTCTTTTTCCTCTCAAAACCCTCAATCCAGACCATCACCACACCCAAAACGACGTCGATTCGAATGGGCGGCGGTCCTCGAACCTTCCCTGGCGGTGTATCGAAGTGGCAGTGGAAGCGCATGCAGGCGAAGAAAGCTAAGCAGCTCCTCCAGGCCCGCCTAGCCCGCGAGCGCCAGATCTACGAGATGCGGAAGCGGGCGGAGCTGAAGGCGGCGGTGTCGGAGCTCGAGCGGCCTTGGGAGGTGGTGGAGGCGAGAGCTCCGAAGCTTTTCTCAGTCAAAGCCGATGAACAAGTGAAGGTTTTGGCGGATCGGTTTCAGAGACCCGGTGGTTTCGATTTATGGTCCGAGAGAGATGGCCCACAGTTGTTATCGCTCGTTGATGGAGTCCCCTCGGCTAGGTTTTTTCCGAAAGGGGTTGTTCATAGTATCAAACCCTATGGGGTAATTGAGAAGGGTTCGGATTCGGATTCAGAGCCTGAACTTGGTATGGAAAGAAATAGGTATGTGAATTCAGGAAGATTTGGAGATGGGTCTGGTAGTGATGGTCTGGTTGAGGCCAAGAATTCTGTAGAATCGTCAATGGATAGAAATGGGAAAGGTTCTAATGGCAAATTTAGGAAGAAAGGGAAAAGGAGAAATTCGAGCAATTTGAATGGGTTGGTTTCTGGTCGAGTCGGTGTTGATAGGGAACAGAGACAGGAGGCTCCGGTTAGGCGCACTGGTGATAATGGGCGTAACCGGGGGATTGGTTCACAGAAGTTGAGAGTTAGGGGTAGTGGTTCACAGAAATTGAGAGGTTCGGATTCGGAAGTGTGTGATATGAGTCGGCTACATGATGGGAGTTACGGGTTTCAAACAGAGAATTGAGAATGTGAGTCGAATATTGGGGCTAAAGATGCAGTTAATCTCGATTCATTCAAGCTTTAGTCTTGATGGTGGAATAGAATTAGTTTGGCTTGCCGGACGGTTTGATAATGAAGAAAGTTCAGCTACATTTTGGACTTCTTTACCAATTCTTGATTCAGAGCTCCTAGACTTGTAAATTAGATATCAAGGTTTGGAAGATGGTCAGGTAATAACCATCTCTGTTCCAAAACGATTACATGTGAATATTGGTACTGCACTGTAACATCTTTACCCATTGTATATTGAATCTTGTTTATTTGAATCATACTAAGTTATTGAATGGAATTTTTTCAATGCTCAAATTTATATCTAGTTTCATTCTTCTCTTTGAATCAACAAGCCGTTGCATTACTGCAGTCCCATGTTGCACATAATTTCCATTTCTATTATGATTTCATGCTATGTGAAATCTGTAAATTGAATTGTGAATCAACAGTGATAGAATCAAATCCTTAGAACATCTAAAAAGGAGGGAAACAAACTTTAAATTGAATCCTGTCAATATTAATTCCGTATCAGTTCGAGAAGAAAACATCACCATATAATTGTTTTATAAAAGAGGTGTTAGGCAAAAGCTCTTTTGGGTGGTGTAGATGGTTGGTCTGCAAAGAAGCTGGAGTTGAACATGTCTGAACACATCTCTGTTGAGTCTTGAAGAGGATGTGGCCAATGGAGGAGAGGGAGTTGAGGAGAGAGAGCATGGCAGTCCCATGTCTATAAAATTTATGGCGAGAAAAAATTCAAGGGGAGGGAAAAAATAGAGAGACTTCGTGAAGAAGTGAAAGAGAATGAGGAAGAGGGCATATCAGTTCAAAAATAATATATATATATATATATAGAGAGAGAGAGAGAGAGTCTCTCGATAGAATAAATTGCTCAATTTGATTTGAAAACCAGAAATAAGTAGTATGGGTGGCCAAGATCACACATGAGGTTTATCCATGTGAGGGACAGACAATTAATAAAAATGGGACGCATGCCCTATAAGTTATCCCTGTGAAGTCACTAGCTTCTTTCCCATTCTCTTTTTAAATAAATCTCTGCCTAGCTAAAGGTCAATGTCTGTTGCATAGTATATGGCCCAATCATAAGGGTGCAGTCCTCATGGCATCAACACTTAACCAACAATCTCTCGTGATCAACAAAACCACAACCTCCAGAGTCCTCTGAATAATGAGATGTGCATTGACCGGCTACCATGAGGTAGGTGCCTAGGTATGATCATCTACATGTAGAAAATCAAAGTAGGTTTAGCCCAACTCTCTTTGTCCAATCAGGCACACCACTTTGTGGGCTTTGTGTCTTTAACATTGTATTATGTCATTAACTTTGTGGGCTTTATGGCATTAACATTGAATTGTGCCTAGGTATGACCATCTATAGGTACAAAACCAAAGTAGGTTTAGCCCAACTCTTTTTGTACAATCAGGGCTACCTGTTTGTGGGCTTTATGGCATTAACATCGAATTGTGTTTAATTAAAATATTTGAAAAAGTAAGGAAGGCCTACCTCTTTGTGGGCCTCGTGGCATTAACGTTGAATTTTGTGTTTAATTAAAATATTTGAAACAGTAAGGAATGCACTTTATGAAGCTCAAGTTATGGTCCATTATGACTTCGACTTGGGTTTCATTTGAGGTCAATTTTTTTTTTTTTTTTTGATAAATATTTTCGTTTGAGGCCACTTGCTTGTTGGTATGTTGGCTAATTCAGTAATTTCCAAATCTTTCTAATTGATTCCAAGAAATTTATGTGTCAGACATTTCCCTTTTTTTATTGTTAATTAGTGAGTGATAAAGCATGATCTTACAAGGTTGTCCTGTGAAAGACACCTCAGAGGCTTAGGTTCTATTTCCCCAATACAGAGACTCAAGTTCGAATATCCCTAGATTACCTATCAATAAAAATAAAATAAAAGGCTTACAAATGATTGACAATGACACTAAGGATAGTAGGGTTACCTTCACGAAATATTGGATGAAATCCATGTGGGGAACGTTTACGAGAACTAGGTTACTTGCAAAATAGTTGGTTTGTCTAAAGAATTAGGCTACTAGACATTGGAAACCTTCTAAAAAATGAAAATAGAAAAAGCTTTAGGCTAAATTGTTACTTGTGCTATAGTAATTGGCCTTTATATATTTGAATTAACATTGATACCTAGGATGTAGTGACTGTACATATCAAACTATGATATTTCAGGAGGCGTGCATAAGTTAAGACTAAGACGAGTGTAATATAGTTTGGTGGAAAATTGAAACAGATATTGTAATAACTTAAGATTATGAATTCAGTAGTTTAGAGATATAACGGAAGACCTCAATTGAATTATTATTTTTTTTTGTTCGTTGTTTTTGAAGGCATATCAAGGGTTTTGGTGGTGGTGGCTTATCCAAAAGGATGGATATGTATGAGAAATTGATAATTTGCATGATTGACTAACTTCTTTATCACGATAGAATTTTAAAAGGGTTAGTTTGAGTTTTTTGCTTTGTTTTGTTTTTTTATTTTATTTATGAATGCATAAATTGAGTAGATTGAAGAAGTTTATTATTTTTTTGTTCATTGTTTTTAAAGGCATATCAAGATTTTTGGTGGTGGTGACTTGTCCGAAAGAATGGATATGTATGAGAAATCGATAATTTGAATGATTGACTAACGACTTCTTTTATCACAATAGAATTTTACAAGGGTAAGTTTGAGTTGTTTATTTATTTATTTTATGAATGCACAAATTGAGTAGATTGAAGAAGTTCTCACATGGTATCAATTATTTGCTCATGATTTACTCTAGTCGTTTAAACTTGACACTAGCCTTTGGATAGACATTGACTGGAGAGAACTTTAGAGTTATGAAGTCAAGGATATGAAAGAATAAGACAAGAGACTTGAATGGAGTTCTGATGAAATTAGGAGTAGAAACATGAAAACAATAAAGATTGATGCTTATACAGTGACAAGTGACATTTTTTTCTTCTTTTTTTGATGTTGATTGATTATCTATAAGTGGAAGAATAAAGAGGATATCACCCTATAATTAAAGCAGCTTGATGAAGTGGACTTCCACCTATTTTCTGGATCAAGGTAATCCTTACCCTTAATAGAAGTTTGTAATGTGTTTCCGCAAGGATTATTTGCATATATACGAATAGTTGAGGATGATTCTGATTGATGCTTGATTTTATCTTCAAATGGTATGCGTGATGTATGATAATTCTTGGGCTCTGCAGATCAATTCTAATCTTCTCTATTCATTTATAGTGAGATTTTGTCTGGCCATTTCAATTTGAAAATATGACTTGCCATTGTCGGCCAGCGGATGAGTGAAGTTATACCAGAAATAGTTCATCCACAAAAAATAGGATTGAAGTAATGGGAACTGTTTGAGATATAATTGCACTCACTCGTAAGACCAACATCATTATGTGTGGACTATATTCTTTCCTTGTGCATTTTGCCTCGACTCAGATTGGGTTATGATTTTCTGAAAAGCAGCTGTAACTAGGGCTGCAAACGAGCCTAAGTCAAGGAGAGTAGTAGGTTGTTTAAGTTTGGTTTGTTTTTATAATGAGCCAATCTAGAATGAGGTTTTAACAAGCTGGACACGAGTTGAGCTCGGATAACTTGATTTTTTTATAGTGTATATATACTTACAAAATCGAGTAGTAGGTTGTTCAAATTTGACTTGCTTATATAACAAGTCAATCTCAAACAGGCTTCTAACGAACCAAACTCGAGTTGAGCTTGAGTAGATTGCTTTGCTTCGCAGCACCAGTAGTAACATCTGCCTTTGTTGGGAACCACTTTCTGTTCAGTTTAATTCATACCATGTCTCTGCAGATGTGGTATTATGTGGACTTCCTGTAGATATGGCATGCTGAATTTCTCATTTGATATATATACTATTGGATTGGTCAGATATGGATGCATGAGTGCTGTATTTCACATGCAATCATCATTTTTGTTTCCATGAGAAGACCTTAACCTGAAATTTCTGTCCTAGACAAATTTTCAGACTACATGTTCTTTTTGTTTTAATCACTCATGATTGGCCACTTTGGATAATTTGAAACCCAATATCTCGCATTTTCGGGTCTCCAGTAGTTAACTCAAAACTTATTTTATTTTAGGTGGGTGATGATAAATAATCGAAATCAAAGATGCCATGTACTCCCAGATCACTAAATAATTTTTCTTTTTAATCCGACATCCCTATCTTATAGAGTATTAAGTGTTGGGTAGTTGAAAAGGTTGAATATCCCATCTCTCTTTTTGTCCTGTCACATCTGTAAGATCAGAGAATATGCTTCAACCTATTGCACTGCACCTGGTTCTCATTTATCAGTTAGGCCAAGGCAATCATGTCTAGAAGCACTAAACCCTCGTCAACTATTTAAAGTTTATCACACCCACCCCCCCGCGGCCGCTTTTCTTTCCCATTTTTTAAAAGTCAACCCTCATCAACTATTATCTCTGTATTTGACTCCTTCAGCATGATATAAGTGGGCAGTGGGTTGTACACATCATTTTAAAAGACAAACAAGCTTTACTATACACTCCTCGAACTGATCTTTCGTGGAATGTTTTATCTTATTTTTTAATTTAAAAATTGTTAACCACAGCTTAATGAGCAGTATTTAAATGCAGAGGAATATGTGAGATGTGTATTGAAATTGTCACTTTATTGGCTTTATTTTCTTTCAAGGAATGCCTATTGGATGATTATTAGCAGGACCCTTTTTGAATTACTACCGTAGTTTTTAGAAATTTTAGTTCATGTGCCAAAGGGATGGATTATAGATTGACATATTATTGTTTGATTAGTGACGTGGGTAAGCCCATAAAAGTCATAACCCACTATGAACAATCCAAATCCATCACTTGGAGCCCAATACATAACCCAGCTGGTGAAGTCCAGAACAGCTGGAATCCAACGTGGCATAAAGAGCCAATGACATTCAGACATACGGCAGGTAAAGGATAAGCCACATCAGCAGACAAAGATCTGCAAAGTTATTACTACTGTACATCACCGTTAATGCAGCTCATCACAGCATTTATTACGACAACACCTCTCCGTCGAAACAGCACCTCCTTACCCTGAACAAGGTAAGTTACAACATAGACTTTCGGCCAAGATGACAGGTCGGAAGGGACAGCAAAATGATGATCAAATGATATAAGCAAACGTTGAAGACAAGATGAAGGTTAAGTTTTTTATCTCTAATTCATATCTCTACATTTCACTTCTCTCTCTCTCTCTAACTTGCTCGTCGAAGGATTCGCTGGGGGACTCCCCATTCCCCATTAAAC